ATTCTTTCTATGACACATCTGAGCTATTCCATCTCCCTGTTTTCAGTGAATGAGCATTATTGCAGGGCCAGGCATGGTGGTTCACACCTGTAATCCTAGCACTCTGGGAGGCCAAGGTGGGAGGATGGCTTGAGCTCAGGAGTTCAAGACTGGCCTGAGGAAGAGTGAGATCCCATCTCTACTAAAAATAGAAAAAAATTAGCTGGACAACTAAAAAAAATAGAAAAAATGAGGTGGGCATGGTGGCACATGCCTGTAGTACCAGCTACTCGGGAGGCTGAGGCAGAAGGATAGCTTGAGCCCAGGAGTTTGAGGTTGCTGTTGGCTAGGCTGATGCCATGGCACTCTAGCCCAGGCAACAGAGCGAAACTGTCTCAAAAAAAAAAAGAGCATTATTTCAAACTTCTTCCTTATATTAAATGATAATATGCTTTCATGTGACTTCCACTTATTAGGCCTTATAATGACTTCTAAAGTGCTTCAAACATTTGAAGATAATTATTAGGTTTACCTTTAGGGCATCTGTTGATATCATCTTATACACAATCTTAAAAAAGTGTCAGAACACTTCTAAAAGGAGTATCTATTTGAGTTTGCTTGGTTTTGTTTTTTCCCTCTGCTAATGGATAAACTGTCATCAACATAACCAGAAACATGAGAGGAATGGTCTTCTCCACTTAAATAAAGGTTCTAAAGCAAGTTTTTGCCTCATCAATAAGGTAGATTTTTTTAATGGGAAGGAGGAAAAATCATTTAATACATTATTGTTATATATTATAATGCATTAACATATTCTGAAGTAAATTGAAAGTGGTTTAAGACCACCAATAATGGAATCTAGTATGGACACTTACTGGATGAGTAACTTGGGGTTCATTACTTACTTTCTTTGTAACTCATTTCCTCTCATATAAATTGAAGGAAAAAATCATAACCAAATGAAAGAATTATTATCATGGATCAGTATGTTAATATATGTTAAGTATTTATAATAGTGTTTGGTGCAAAGTAAGAGCTATGTGTGTTACCTATAATTTTTATTACTATGTACCTACTTTAATTTTTATTATTATGGTAATATATGCCAGAAAATTATAAAGATATTTTAGCCACCTTGATTCAGATTTTTCCAGATCTCAATAATAAGCTTACTTTTATACATACAGTACTTTAGCGACCTTAGAATGGCAGACCATTCAGCCATTCAAAACCATTTTCATGAAAAATATATGCAACATATTAATTGGAAGGTTAAAAAGCAATTTTCCAAAAAGTATATACTATGGTCTCAACTTTGTTTCTTAAAAATGCAAAAATATGTAGGTGCAAAAATTGTAAAAATACAGATCTCACTGAAAACTTATATAACAAAATTTCAATAGTGGTTATCTTTTGGCAATATTACAAGTGACTTATTTTTTCATGTCTGTTTTATGTATAGTCCAGTTCCTTATAACAACCATCTCATAAAAAGAAATTTATCAGAAAAAAATCAATATCTTAAAATATACCATATGTGGGCTGTTCAAGACTCTCTTTAATTTTTTTAAAGTTTATAAGTAATGTAAATTTCTCAACCTTCAGGAAAAAAAAATTCAAGGTAGTAAACAAAGTAAGAAATTCATCAGAATACAAAAGCCAACAAAGCATTATGTGTAAGCACATTCTAAAATTCTATTTCCTGTTTTGATTTCTAGTTCAGTCATTCCACATGACATGTTTCAGTGCTACAGAACTTTTATGCTAAATTTACAAACAGCAAGAGATCACACAGTGCTCCATATGTTATTTCCACTTCACAAATATGACAAAAACTAAAGATTGTGTTACAAAAACAGCAGAAAATATTCATAAGAGAGCAATGAAAAGTTTATAGAGTATTATCCTCTCAAAATTCCTTTGCTCCAAAAATTAGAGATGAAGATAAGCTAGTATTATCTCTATCTCGGTTAGATTTTATGCATACTTAACATTTAGATAAACTTGCTATAGCTTCTCACTTTTTCTCTTTTCAGATAAACTTGCTATAGCTTCTCGTTTTTTCTCTTTTCTCTTCCTCAGATCAACAACCTTCCCTCCCCCCACTCCACCCCCTTCCTCCATCTCCTCCTGGCCTCTTCCCTCTAGGTCTCTTCCTTCTGTGTCTAGGGCCCTCTATCTCCCCCTTTTTAAGTGGTAAAATTCTAGAATCAAATCAGCAATGTTCACTGTTATTAACAACTGACACAGACTTCAGGATACTCTAAGATATTTGAAATGGCATCTATAATCCCCCAACTTTAGTTGGAGAATAAGGAAAAAGCAAGGCCTAACTTTAAATATCCAACATTCTCACTCAAGCTTTCTAGAATTCTAAATAGAGTGTCATCTGTGATTTTTCATTAAAGAATATCTTCTTTTGGCTATAACAAAATGTACCTCAGAATTATTTTGATAAATTAAAAAATTATGATACTTTATTATTTTTAAATCTCTTAACTTCTACACATATGTAATAATGCTAATTTAGTCTAAAATGAAATTACTACAATTAAGAGAGAGAGCTAAAGAAATCTGACAAAGAACCCAGAAAAAAATTTCTTTTCATAGCAACTGGGGAGGTATCAGAAAAAGATAAGAACTCCTTATTAATATAACATTTCAGCTCTGTAGTAATCATAACCATCCAGAAATGCAAAAAATTACTAAGACAACAAGCTGATATGCTCTGTCAAGTTTTGTCACAAACCTCACATATTAAATCATTTGAATTTCACATATTTAGAATATGTGACCTATAATTCAGTACATATAAAATGGATATGCAGTCAATAATAATAATCCCCTACTCTCTCTACCAATCCATCTTTCCTCTTCACCCCTACAATCAACAAATCCCAAATATCACTTTTTACACTCAAGAACAGACTTTCAATAAGTCTAGAACAGACTTTCAATAAGTCAAAAATGTATTCCAAATGAACTGCCCTTTATCAGTTTGGGGACATTAAAAAAAAAAAGAACAAAAAGTTAGCAAAACAAAACAAACTCTGAAACTAAAAGGTAAGTGACTTAAACTGTATTATCCATGTAGAAGAAGAAGATTTATAAAAGGTTACTTATGATGGGTCTGAAAACAACTTCTGAGTACTATCTATATGCTAGCATTAGAAGCTGCTTTAGTTATTTATAATTACTGTCTTTTCATTCTAGATCTATAAAAAGGAGTCCTTATTATTTTTTAAAGTCAGAGAAAAACATTTTGAAAAGCATGAATTAAAAAACAAATAACAATAACAACAACAAAAGGAAACATGAATTAAACTGATGAGAGACCTTAGAAAATTAAAATTTAAGAAAGAAGTTAATAAACTCTATGCCTCATAACTTCAATTATACACTAGACAAAATGATTGGTCAAACTAGTCAGAAACCTATATGCAAAGCAGATAGACGAACCTAGGTTCAATCAATGGAGAGTTTTCCCAGGGTCCTTCTAACTATAATGAAGATGCCTGATTCTTCTCCAGCAGAGGGAGCAAAATCACAATACTCAATTCATGTCACAGAAAGAAGTGGCGGTAGAGGGTTTATAAGTGTCTCTTAATTTCTACATTTGTCGAGACATTTTTAAAGATACACTGAAAATACCGTTTGAAAAGAACTAAAATCAACCCAGTGGAAAAGACAAGGATTGGATTTTATCTTTTTCAAATACCTAAAGGTTTTGAAATGAAACACTGGCCCCTAAATTTAATTTCGAGAGCCATGGTATATTCGTTGTCCACTGAATCTCACAGGTAACCAAGGTATTGAAACATTTTATGAATCCTTAATTTAACAACAGAATTTCATAAAAATATAAAATAGTATATAAAATTCACTTTATTATAAAAGTAACATATTCACATGACAAATATTGTAGAAAACAAGGGAATGAGAAGTATAATTGCACCATCAGAAAACAACCTATTCCCTTCCAGTATTTTTATATGCATATTTTCATACCATTATTTTAAAAGTATAGCTAAAAAACATTTATTAATTTCTTATTATGTGCTAGGCATAGTTCTAAACACTTTTACATGTTATAACTTATTTCACATATTAAAGATGAAGAAAAACAGACATACAGAAATTATACAATTAGGTTAAAGAACACAACTAGTAAGTAACAAGAGCCAAGATTATAACCCAGGTAATCTGGTACCAGAGCCTGTACTCTTAACCACTTTACTGTGATTTTAATTTTGAATTATTCTTTATCATTAACATATTCTCGGTGTTAGTCCTCGAAGTCTTTTTAATGTCTACAATAGTTGATCTAATATGCATATGATAATGAGCTATGCTATTTCCACCCCTTATAAATATAGTAAAATAAATACCTGAGTATATTACTTTTGCTACATTTGGGTTTACTTTTATATTCTTTAATATACCACCAAATTGCTTTCCAAAATATTTGTATCAATTAACAAAGCCATGGTAAGTACCAATTTTACCATAAATTTGCCAGCATTAACATCTAAAATTTTTTTCTAATAGATAAAAAAAACCACACTCCAAATTGAATTTATCATTAAAGTTGCATATTATTTTTGTTGTTTACTAATTTTCTTTTTTCTGAATTTCAGCTTATATGCTTTATCTAGTTATCAACTGAGATCTTAAAATTTGCTAATTAATTTATATGAATTTTTATAAGAATATTAACCTCTATGTCCATCATATTTGCAATAAAATCTTCCCAGTCTCTTTTTTCCTTTTAATTATGATTAAGTTTGTTTTTGATAAAATAACCTTCTATTGACAATCATATTAAAAGTTACAAGAGGTCTTGAAATCGTATAATTTTCTAAATACAGAAGTTAGTCTGTTGCTTTGAGCACATCAGTGTCTTTCAATATAAGACTTTTAAAGTAATGTAAAACTTCAAAATATGCATGTTTATCTAATAGAATTACTGAATTTGAGAAGTCTCGATTATGTCTCAAAATTAACTCAAAGGAGCTACATACCTGTCGCTGTAAACACAGGCGATTTCTGTCATGTAAATGCTGATGATTAGAAAATGATGAATGCCAATTCCGAGCCTGACTCTGCAACTGAGTCTGAGTCATATCAGAAGGCCTTGTTACAAGATGAGAAGTAAACTGCCGATCAAGGTCATGATCTAAAACATGACTTGAATTATCTTGTCCAAATGCTGACTCATCAAATTGGGGAAGAAGACCCTCCTGAAGGAGGTCCTCTGGGTCAAGTCCTGTGAAGGGCTCAGTTTGAGATTCCACTTGATGAAGTAAATTCTCTTCTAAAGATGAAAAGCCATTAGTTTCTACATGATCACTGAAATGGCCCATTTGAGTTCCTGAGTCAACAGGATCTGGGAAGTTCATGTGCACAGGAGATAATTTTGAATTGCTATAATTACCCTGAGGATGTGACGAATGCAACATTTGGAAATTATTTGAATTCAAGGATGTATTGGGGTTTAGGACATGCTGAGTGGATTCTTGCTTGATTCCCCTATGAGGTGAAAAGGAATTATTTCTAGTAAAATCAGATAAAGTCTGATTTGTATGATTAGGTGCAAGAACCGCAGAGGACTGAAGGAGACTGTTTGGTGATATATGATTACTGGAAAAGGAATAATGTGAAGAAAACTGCTGTGAATTACTGACAGAACAAGAAGTCATATTTGGGGAAGGTCCATTAAAACTTCCTTCTTGATGATTGCTACACTTCAGGAAGTGTACTGAGGGATTTGACGCTTGAGAAAATTGCTGCATTGAAAGCGATTGCTGTGAATTAGATGCATTAGTAATTTGTGGTGGGTGGTTAACATTGACTCTGTGTGGACCAGAAACATTAACATCCATAAAGTTTTTAGACTGGCCAAGAGAATTTTGCCCTGGGTTGAGATTATTTCTGTTTTGTTGTGATCGTAGTGAAGTGCACTGTGTTTGTTGTTCATTGGCCTGAAATAAGGCAAAGTCATGGTGTGCCACGAAGCTTTTATTCTGATGCATAGAATGTGAATGTCCTTGTTGGTGAAAAGGAGATCCATTTTGATTTGAAATGCTAGTAGCTGTCTGGTGGCCCCACATTGGACTGCCATCTGCTACATCTGGAAACAAACCATTCGGTTGATTTTGGGGGTGGATCGGAGAACAATTATATTGAGAGTGTGGAGATAACACATGTTCAGCTGGACTACCAAAAGACTGATTAACTTGATGAAATTTCATTGAATCAAACTGATTTAACTGTTCAAAATCAGTCATCTTCTGATGTGTTGGAGTACCCTGAACATGGTTCAGTGAATCTATATGCAAAGGTTCAAATTCTGCACCCAAGTTCAATTCATCAACTAGTGAAACAGGTCCTGGTTGTACAAATGCATCATCTGACAAACTTTCTAAGGTCTCACCAAAAAGATTGGCATCATCGAAAAAATCCATCATTGGATCTGTCATCTTGAAAATTCAGTAACAATCTGGGCTGTTCACTCCAAATAGAGTATATTCAGCTTCTCTGGAGTAGATATTATTGGATCATTTCCAAAGGTCAACTATTCCAACACAGGTCAATATTCATTATTGCTTTAGATAATGACATGTCATGAAGTATCAGAATCCTAGAAAAATAAGAACAAAACAATTTAAATTTAATAATGAGTATTCATTAAACTTTTATAAATAAAGTTTTAAAATGATTTTAAAAAATAACATCTCAGTGTACAGTATTTTTTTGTAGAATAATTCATTGCAAATAGCTCATTAATATTCCCTACAAGGGAAAAAAAGGCTCACACAGGGGACATAACTATATGTACATAAAAGTAATAGTATTAGCCAGGCATGGTGGCATGTGCCTGCAGTCCCAACTGCTTGGGAAGTTGAGGTAGGAGGATTGCTTGAGCCTGGGAGTTTAAGGTTGCAGTGAGCTATGATAATGCCACTGTACTCGCTAGGTGACGGAGACCCTGTCTCCAAAAAAATAAAAGTAATAATGATCACTGCTTTATTTTGAAGTTCATATATAATGATGAAAGAATGTAAAGTATACCTGAGAATAGTATGTCACACTCTCTCCCACACCATGAAATGGCCATCACTTCTCAGCCCCTCTAGCCAATGTATAAAATATATATGTATTAATTATACTTTAAAGTTATGTCTTAAATAGCTGACATCAAACCTTAGATTAGTAAGTACATTGTGATCTTTTGCTCTAGACCTCTTGAGCAGATAAATCTGTTACTTCCTAAGGTATATGTGGAAATTTGTCAAGAACGATAATTATATGAGGTCATGGTAAGCTGCTCCAGAACGAGGTAAGTTAGCCATCTGGTCAGCTGACAGCACAGACATGTGCTGGGGGGATATCCCCACATATTGCCACTCATGATCCTCTTGCTCATGGTGATCAAGGATGATCACCGTGGAAGATCAGCCTTCCTGAAAGCCAACTGATTTAGATATCCATGAAGCAAAAGCAAGCACCTTCCTACTAACAGTTGTATTCATTACTCTGTCCCTAATTTCACCCTGTTAAATCATCTGGATTATATATGTTGCTTATAATATTTACTAAACTATGTTAATAAATGTGTCCTTTGAATCAAGTTGATAAGAAAACAGTAGCTTGAGCTAAGCAATAAACTTGTCTTGTGATAGTCTCAAGAGAAAAATGGTTATATTTATATAAACAGGCATCCCTGACTTACTGTGGTCCGACTTGCGATTTTTCTACTTAATTGTATGAAAGCGATATGCTTTCAGTAGAAACCATACTTCAAATACCCACACAACCATTCCATTTTTCACTTTCAGTATAGTATTCAATAAATTACATGAGATATTCAATACTTTATTATAAAATACACTTTGTGCTAGATGATTTTTCCCAACTGTAGGTTAATGTAAGTGCTCTGAGCACATTTTTAAGGTAGACAAGGCTAAACTATGACTAGAGGCTAAGCTATGATGTTTGGAAGGGTAGGTTAGATGTATTATATATTTTTGACTTCCAACATTTTCAACTTACAACAGGTTTATCAGGACATAACTCCATCGTAAGTCAAGAGCATCTGTATATGTGTATATATATATACACATGCTATTTATGTATAGAAAGAATCTAACAGGTTACTTGCTAATATGAAATGGCTGACCATTATTGTTCCAGGCTCATATTGGTCCAAATATTTTTAACGAAGATAATTTACAGTTTTGTGCCCACTGTCTTACATAGAGAGTCACAAATGGAAATTCTTGTTCCTCTATATATTATTCAAAAATGAACAAAGACCTAAGACACTTTTCCAGAATTTCTATTTTTAGAGGTTCAATAGGAAATATAAATTTCCTAAGCAAAGTGTCTACAAGTGTATTGCTTAGCTCAAGCCTACTGTTTTCTCATCAACTTGATTCTCAGGACACATTTATTTACACAATTTAGTAAATAAATACAATAAGCAATATATATGTTCCAAATGATTTAACAGGGTGAAATTCGGGACAGAGTAATAAATACAACTATCAATATGAAGGTGCTTACTTTTGTTTCTGGATATTGAAATCATTTGGCTGTCAGGAAGTCTGATCTTCCATGGTAGATGAGCAAGAGAACCATGATACCATGAATGGAAATAATTTTTAAACATCTGAGAATTAAAAAATATCAACTCTATATTAATTTTACCTAGAAACTGACTTATCAATCATAATGGTATATAAGTTTTTAATAAAAATATAACTTTAGAAAAAGTAAAATACAAATAGAAAAAATTATTTTTCCAGATTTTCTAATTGTGAGACCAGAATACGGAGGATTATGTAGTTGGAACTGAAGACATCATTAGCCAGAAAGTAAGGTAGGTTAAGTAACTTCTCCAGAACATACCTTATATTCAGCTTCAGACACTAGACTAGGGAACATCTATGTATACCTAAACTATTAATCAGGAAAGCAACGTCTTATGATTAAGTAAGACATACATCCAGTAAGAAATATAATGAAAAATACTAAAGTCAATGTGATGATATACCATCAGTTGATATAACTTGAGGAAAAACATGATGTCAATTAAACTATTATACTATGTCACTTACAATTATTTTATTATTAATGAAATAATTTTAAACTTATTTAGACTTAGACTTATTCCATGGGATTTGACATTGTCTTCTGTCTTACGGTGCTTTGCTTAGTTCATAAAACATTTGATTGTTGCTTTGCAAAAACATGTGGAATTGGTTTTATTTCTTTGACAATAAATATTTGCTTCATTAATATCAGATTTATGTTGCTCTGTTTCTGTGCCTTTCTGCACACTCGATAACTTTTTGGTTAAATGTTGAATAATAGCGTAATCTCCAAAGACATTTTAAACAGGAATTAAATATGTGTTGTAGTAACAAGGTACATAGCCCAAATGAAGTGATGACAGTTTAAATAGCAATGAATAAGTCTGTGTAGGCACAGACAATAACTACTCCTCCATGACAGCTACCTGGCACAGTGACTGAGAGAGACATCCCAATTTCAGAGATTAAAAGTAAAAGATTTTTTTACTTTTAATAAAGTAAAAAAAAAAATGCATCTCATAATTGACTGAAATAAGTTCTTGAATATTAGAATGTATTACTTCAAGAATTCAGCCCACCCTCTGGCCTCACCTGTTGGGCCAGGCGTGGGCTGCCGCTCACCTGGGCACAGCTGGGCTCAGGTGATTCAGCTGCCTGCAGTGGGCTTGGTCTGCAAGGAGTGTGCCTGCTGGAAACCACCCCTCTAAGGAGATGCTGGGGTCTTAGCTAGGAAGGCGACCATTAACCTGTGAAGATCGCCTTATGGTGTTGGCATTGGCCAGAATGACTGGGCTGGCACGGCCTCAACACATCGAGATCCAGAGGCCAGGAGGGATATCAGAATGGAGGTGCAGATCTGGGCTCCACCCCTCCAAAACCAAGAGTGCCCAGCATGTTTGCAGCCTCACAGTTAAGCTTTCCATTGAGGTCTGCACATCCCCAAGACCACACAGCTACAGTTTGTGCTTTGCTTTTATTTCAAGGATGGGCAGGCTGACCTCGGTCTGCTCACCTGCCTCTGACCTCCTCGACCTTTCGACCTAGATGGAGCTGTGTGCTACAGCTGCCTGACTGTACCACAGCTGTTTGGGGCAGCCTTCCTCTGCAGTGAGGAAACGACTCACAAGTTCTTGACTACTGGATTGCTTAGTACTTTTTGTTTTAGTATCCCAATTCTTAAGTTGTTCTGCCATTGTGGTATTCTAGTCCTAAATATAATCTTTTGACAGAGTTTTTTTAACTGCCTAGAATTCAAGATCCTAAACATTTTTTTTTTTTTGCTGTATTTAGATTATATTGTTTTTTTCCCCCTTTAGGGGAAAATCTAGATGGAAAATGAAGTTATTTTAAAATACAGTATGAGGTTAAGAATTAGTGTTAGGAACATGGGCATTACAGTTGAAGTTTTAGAATTTCAATTGGAACTACTATTGAAGTTTTAAGCAAGAAGTGTTAAAGTGAATTGAAAGATGTAATGCACTTTTCTTCAAAGAAAATATTTCTTTAAGTGTTGGCAAAGCTTGAGAATAAAAAGCTTGCATTGAAAAAAAAAAAAGAATTCAGAACCCAGAACTACAGAAAACTATTGCCCAATTGTAGATTAGATTACTTGAATGATATAAATTCATGTATTTCTATTTCTTCTTGTTGTGGTAACAGTGAATTTAAAATATAAATATAAAACATTCTGAATTCATACTGATTTACTATAGCTTTCTATGTTTGTTTTATTCATTAAAAATAGAGAATTTTTAAAAGACTATTCTGGAAATAAATTTATGATATACCACAGTAGTAACATTCTATATAGGAGAGACTGCTGTGGTCTTTGAATTTTTGTACATTATGCTAGGTTAACTAAAACAGAGAGTGTTTTCTATATTTATATAACCTGAGGCTTACCCAAAACATGAGATGTGGTAATTTTAATTAATAAAATAATTTTATTTATTCATCCAATATATATTTGTTGATAGATAATTTCTAGTTATTAAGATGATGAATAATAAAGGAACTCTAAAGGGGAATATAGACTAATAAATAGATCATTACCAACATGTTATTTGTTCTTTGATAAAGGCAAGCACAGAGGAGAAACATCTAATGGTAAAGAAGATGAACAAAGACATCAGTACTATAAAAATAATTAGTACTATAAGAGATGATCTACATTTCATTTGTGACAAGACAGTAGTCAATCTTAGTTATAAAAATAGGGACTAAAAGATAATTATAGAAAAAATGCCCACAAAATCTACTAAACCATGTTTTCTTATTTGAATAGTTATCCTATAGATGTTACAATGCTCAAATTCCTCTTTAAGATCTACGGTCTTAATTCATTCTGGTAAAAGTCTGTACCATTCTCCAGCTTTATAAAAACATCACATCAGTCTAATTTTAACTTATTTAATTAAGCACATATTTATATACTGTCAATTACATTCAAAGTATCTTTGCATAAACTATAAAAAGTCCTTGCTCTCAGAAAGTTAACTCTAAATAGGGAGGGATAGGGGATGGCATAAGCAAAACATATTATATG